GTTCGACTCAAGCCAGAACTAAATCGATGCTAGCGTGACACAACATGTTACTCGTCATGCAACCCAAATTCACGTCGTCGACCTAGCTTGCTCTCTTGTGACTCCAGCCGTCTTGGGCATTTTCTTACTGGAGCTGTCTTCTAGCTCCTTGGCTTTGTAATAGTGAGGTGCTACCTCCAACAGCCATTTGTTTTCAATCTCTATGATCTGGTAAGAAAGTATTCATTTTGGTAACAGGCTTCTAGTTTCAAACCCTGCCCTCATGCAGGAGACAAAGTACATGTAAGCGGTAAAACTAGCTTGTTTCTCTGGATTGGAAACGCCAGACAAATCAATGTTTGACTGAGGAAGGGAGACTGATTTTGTTTCATACTTTTCGTGAGCTTTGAGATGCTACAACCGACCAGAAGCGTCCGTTCAGTTCAAATTTCGTGCTAGACTTCACCACATTAAGCAAATTAATAATTCCTTAATTTCCTTTTCACACTGCACAGGCCTTTTTAACGCAAAGAGCTTAGATCCAAGAGAGAGATACATAGGTGATGTACTAAAGCATGACTCTCAGAATTAAGAATCAGTAGTAAGACCGGCATTACCTGTCTCGTGAACTCCTTTGTAGTGAACACAAGCTCGTGGTAGATCACCCATCTGGGCTGGTCCTGGAAAAGACTGCTGTTCGGGTGAATCATGACTGTCTGCAAGAAAGAATAACAAAACCATAACAGGACAACTTGCGAGTCTTATAGGTGATACATCTACCAGTCTAAACATGTATTTTACCTGGTTTGATATGACTCAAATAAAAAGTAATATAATCCAATACGGCCTGTCGCTTACATTCATTGAAAACAACCGTACCCATTCGTAGGGATGCAAAAACCTAGGCGCTGTGAGGAACCCATGTATTCCAGTTATAGCCTTCACTGATTTAGATATCAATCAAGTAGCTCCAGATTCATCCACAGCACTTGTTTTCACAACAAGGCAAAGCAAAGCCCAGGTCCATTACACTTGCATGTCTTGGTTGTGAGAACTAACCCCGGTTGTTCGAAGGGTGGACACTGCTATCCACTGTACAAATCTCTAACCGATGGATAGCGCAGTACGATTTTTGGACACTTATCCGCTGGAAAGTGATTTTTCTGTTGGATAGCTATATTCTTTCCTTGAGCAACTGGGCCCTGGTTTTAAGAAATGTGTTTATTTGTAAGCGGTTTACATAACACCGGCTGTTCGCATGCACTTTTCCGTGTGTCTCGCAATTTTCCATGACTCTAAACTTGAGCTGCGTAAGACCCTCCTTGCGATGATAATCGCTCAAAGTCTCAATCTCCCTTTCTTTTAAGCTCAAAGCAGATTCTTTTGAATTCTAATACGAAAAGCGCCTTTACCTGCTGATGTTTTACTGTCCTGTACTGGCCACTCTTGCCTAGCCTGGCAGTGTGATAAAAGTAACCTGATGTGATCGCCTAAAAACATAAGATAGGACAATTTGATGTCGGTATTGTGGTATAAAACAAATCGACAGTGGTAAAGCGAACTTACAGTGTTGCAGACTCACTCGGTTACGCCTTCTGAGTCCACAACACTTTGACCACTGTGAAGACGAATTTCGTTGTTCATAAGAGTAAGGACCCCGCTAACCACTGTCGATTTGTTAATTTTCTTACTGTCAAGAAGTCTTCTTTAAATGTTAGCAGAAACAAGATGCTAGTCACTCAGAGTGGTTGGAGGATTAACCGTTATTGTCGACCTCTTACCTTTCTGATAGGAACAGAATCATTTGGGTTCGACGAAATTTCAATCTCTACTCTCTCCATCAGTCCCTCTAGCTGTTCCCTAACGTCACGCGCTCTCTTCATAGAGCGATGCTGTATGAAATTCTCATAGCACCATTGAGTGAGGTACCCAGTCTCCACCCACTGATCGTACACGTTCAACAATGTCAGGTGATCACCTCCTGGACGAAAGAAGTTTACGCGCGCGTTGTCCGCATGTACGACTTTATCCTTGGGGCGATAGAAAATGGCGTTGTTCACCGATAACATGGCAGTGATGGTAAGAATCTGTTCGACGCACTTGTACCTGAAAGACAATTGAAAATGAAAATCGATCTTGGGTTCTTTTGACACAGACTACGCGAACATTTGTACGAATGTATTCAAGGTCTTCCAGNGGGAAATTCCGCCATGCGACGTCCAAGCTGAAAGAAAGAGAGAAAAAAGAAACAAAGAAACAAGGACAGTTAGAGAGTTTGAATCACTTCGTTGAACGAGCTTATCTAACCCCTTTCCTCCTCAGCGTGGTAAGTGCTTAAGTTCTCCATCTGAAAACGAATTTCTCAGGACTAAAACATAACTTTTTCTGATTTTGGAGCATACTCTTCAAAACGAAAAAATCTTCACACCGTCACAAACCTTTGTGAGTTCTCCGTGATGGTTCAGTCCTCCCAGAGCGTACAGCTGCTCGAGGGCAATGATAAAGGTCTCAGCCGGAGGGGGATCCATGAAATCAAAATGAATCAAATCGTTGATACCCAGGCTCTTCAGAAGTAGAACTACATTTCCCAAGTTACTTCTCTGGATCTGTGGAAGGTGGAAAAAAAGCGAAGAAATACTCTAACGATGGTTGCTGAAAAATAACGTTCTTTTGAGTACCGATCAAAGGATAAGTTTTCTTCAGCAACAGCTGATAAATTAAACGATAGCTTACCTCGGGGATGGTGTTCTCCTCCAGTTCGTTCTTGTACGCCCATGCTGTGTACAATCTGAAACAGTTGCCTGCTGCCACGCGACCCGCACGACCTGCTCTTTGATTGGCTGATGCCTAGGAAAAGTCACAACAGTTGGTGGGTTTACTTCATAACCACAACATTAAACAAAAACAATCAGACAAATTCAACGTTTTGAGGCACTTTGGTATGAGAGTTCTAAGACCAAGACTTACTTTTGAAATGGGTGTCACCACTAGTGACTCCATTCCTGTGCGTGGGTTGTAACTCTTCTGTTTACAAAATCCAGGATCAATAACATATATAATACCATCAATGGTTAGCGACGTCTCGGCGATATTGGTGGCTAAAACAACCTGTGGGACACAAATATTGCAAAGAGTTCTCTTTTGCTTGTCTTGGGTTGAAACGTTTTGAGATAAAAAATTAAAATTAATCGCAAGTCTTTTAATAATCATTGTCTTTGTTTCGTGACTTTTAAAGTCCAAGGTCTTATACTTTATCGGGTAACCTCTAAATTTAAAGAATGAAAAATAAAAGAAAAAGAAAAATAAAAGAGTTCGTAAAATTTTGGAAAAACAAGACGTCATAGATACGTTGTGACACAGCACGACTTGTTATAAAATAAAACTGGATTTCTAGATTCGAACTAAAATGCATCTGCCTCCCCAGAATTAGACCATTCTTATATGGCATAGGCATTGTTGATAAAACAAAATGGTGGATGAAACAAACAAAAAAAAAATAAAACGGTGGCCAGGAGGATTTGTTTACTTTTCTTCCCCCAGGAGGAGTGGGCTCAAATATCTTCGCTTGCAAATCCGATGGAAGATTAGAGTAGATGGGAAGAATGGTTAGCTCATTGATTTTGGAGCCCAGTTGGCGCGTGCGTTCTTGTAACAACTCCTGTGACCTTTCGATTTCCTCCTAGCCAGTAAAAAAAAACCAGGATGTCCCCTGGGGGTTGGGTCACGTGTATCTGTAACACAGTCACCACCGTGGCTTCAAGATAATCAGCTTCTGGAGACTGGAAAATGAGAGGTGAGAGGATTGATAAAATTACTGTACTTTCACAGAGAAGGACAATATTTAGAAAGAACAGGTACCGTAAATGCTCGAATTAGCGCCCAGGGCGTTTATTTAATTTTCTAAGGCGAGAGGGGGACGCTAATTCAAAGGGGGCGTTTATTTAAAGGGGGCGCTTATTTCGTTTACCAATTTTTAGCTTCAAAATGACAACATCTTTATGCTCATTTACAACCAAACTGCACCATAAAACTTCTAAAACCTTATAGAAAACTACTTTTTCCGAACTCGAAACGTTCTTAAGACTTTTTCGTCAAAAAACGTATTTTATTTCTGCAATAGAACAATTCTAACAAAATTATGCGTTTGCTATTGTGAAATGTCTTCGGTTAACATCCAGTTGTCTTCAATTAAACACACAATAAAAACACATTGTTAATGTTAAAATATCGTGTCTCTCCTAAGCATTTAGATTCTTAATCAACAATTTTTTCTCGGGAGATGGGGGAGGCGCCACTTATTTGAAGGGGGGGTGCTTAATACAAATTTTTAACCTTAGGAGGGGCGCTAATTCGAAGAGGGGCGCTTATTTGAACCTGGGCGCTAATTCGAGCATTTACAGTACTTAAATGCCGTTGCTTTCAAAGGTTTATTATCCGAAAAAGGATAGAATTTCTTTGGAAACACCTTCCGATGAATCGGACAAAGTATTTTGTTCATTTTTCACCCATCAAAAGTAACTGAACCAAACTCGCAGAACAGAAGATAGGTTTGTACACGATAGAGAATGATTGTTTGCGTTCGTCACGGAACGTCCTCGAAGAGGAATCTAAATTTGTTGCTTAAGTATACAACAGAGGCGGCCCTCGAGGTTATAGCAATTTCCCTTTAACAGAGATCTTCTCGTAATGGGAGAAGGGGGGAGGACAAGGGGAAGAGGACAGGGAAGAAGGGGAGGAGGGAGGTGGGAGTAGGCACAAAGATAGCATGAAAATCATTTATTCTGCTAGAGTTGAAGCTTTAATTTGTTTCATGAAGGAGGTGTGTCTGAATATAAGTGGCCCAGTAGTAAGACCCAAGAAATCTGGCCATGGTTTGTTATGGTTTAGATTCTACTGCGAAAACTATATAAAACGACAATGATCTAGTTTTCTGGGAGCAAAACTACACTATTCCTCCTACAGAACTGTGTTCATACTGATAAAAATGAATGATGGATATGGGAATGAACACCATCCACTCTTACTACAGGCCGTGCTATCGTCATTGATGTTCCACTAGAGAACAGTCTATTGTATCTGAACTAAAGATGTATCGATCGACTCAGAAGTTAAAAAGAGACACAGATAAGCTAAAATACGATATTTCACCAGGAATGACCCTGAAAGAGGATAAAGTTGTTCACCTTTGTGTAATAAATATTCACGGGAAATCTTCGACCAGGAATTCTAAAGATGGGCGCATCCTCAAAGAACTGGAAGGTAAAACGTACAATGTATTTTTTACTTAACAGCTTGGTTCATTTCTAAGGTACGAGAATTAAGAAAAAGTTCTTTTTCTTTTTGGACAAATCCTTCTGTATAAGGTTACTACGTTACAAAAAGGCGTCATCATGTTCTCGTAATCGCTAGGTTGGTTGTAGGCTGTAAAAGTAAATTGCGGCAGACACTTACAAAAATACAAGGACTGTTTTTTTTTTTTTTTTTACGGTCTTCTTTTTCTAGAGACGATATTGACGTTCAACGGAAGAAGCTGAAGAAATATGCTATTCATTCATCACGAACGCACGGACTTTCCGATTTTTCCTTCCTCGACCCCTGTGCCACCAACTCGTTCATGAGCCAAACCACAAACTAGATTCATGTGGCAAGCGTCACTGATATCCTGCAAGGGCCAGAAATGTCAAAGGCGTCTTATTCATGGTTTCAGAACGCTTGCCACCCACGTAACTAGTTTTTTTTCGGGCTCACGAACAAGTTATCTGACCATGAAATCAATCGATTCTTAGTGGGCGAGTTTTCAGGTGAGCGAGGAAAGCGCGGGGCAGTCGTGGGGCAAGCGTGAGGAAAGCGCGTTCGTCTCCTCGCATGTGTTTTTCCCCTTGAGCTCTCATTACATTTGCCTTTGCTCGCCCGAGAAACGACAAAAATGACACCCGTCCTGCGGGCTACTGAGTAGTCGATAATAACGCTATTTATCAAGACATACCTGTGAAAACTTGTCAGCATCCAAAGTCGCACTGGATATCAGAAGTTTAAGATCTTTTCGGAATCGAGCAATGTCCTTGACCAAGCCAAATAGCACATCAGTATGAAGGGTTCGTTCGTGAGCTTCGTCAATAATCAGAACACTGCCAACAGAAACGTGGGGCCATTTAAAGTAGAAGTTGATTCAGACATCATACACGTACAATGTTCATCTCCGGCTACGAAAACTACATCTAGTAAAATAAATCACTTCCCGCTTTTCGGAAAATACACAGAGTAGCATTATATGAATAGTCTACAGTAGGTAGAGCTGTTAAAAATGTACTGTATGTATAAAGTATTATAAGGTGGACCAAACCTGTATCCAGCTAGATCCGGTTCACCCAAGAACTCACGCAGCAACATTCCATCAGTCATGTACTAAAGATCAAATTTCAACTATTTACGTCTTAAGTTATGCATTGATATCTTTGGAGTGTCCACAATAATCTGCAACGGCATTGATTTTACTTTACCTCGCTCTGTGATTAGTCTAAAAACTCGCGCCACCCTTTCAACCAATCAAATGCAAAATTAAAACCAGCCGCGTCTTGGTTTCCCGCGTTGTGCCGCGCTTTAGGCAGTTTGCTTGTTTTTACTTTGAGTAAACATCGCCTTCATGTGATATTTTCTTTTCTTCTGATTGGCAGTTGCGATAACTTTGGTATAGGTTTTACGACACTCACTGGAGATCCACTCTCAGTAAGCCTTTCATCTCCTCACCGTATTATAACTTCATCAATACGTAAACTGAAATTTCCACTGTTAAAAGAACATTACCCTGGTATTATTCTTTCAAACTTGTGCTTCATAACGTCAGTAGGAATTTTTATAAAAGATACGTCTATTTTGCTGTTTCTAAACCATTGTATTGATACGTTCTCCTTAGAAAGAAATACAGTAAGTCCTCATTAGCAACTCTCTTTACTGTCTGCCATACAATTCTCATAAAGTTACTGAGGAGAATTTTGCTATTGGATCAACTAATAATCACCCAACTGATATTTTTCTTCTTTCTCATCCCTTGTCTGCGTGGTATTGTATTAATAATGTAAGGAGAAATTTTGTGTTGGTCACTCATGGGAGTTGAAAGGTTAAAAGTCCTACCTTTATTATGGTTCGCTCTGAACAGCAATCTTCGAAACGGATACTGTATCCAACCTGAAAACAGAATAAAAATCTTAAAAGAAAAAAGAGATGTGGGCAAAATTTAATGTCGAATGAATATGCACATCTACTAGAAAAAGGATACGATGTCTCTGAAGTACAGTGTACTTCAAAAAGTTGAATTTCTGAATATCTGCAACCATTTGCCGATAACCGCTAAACTATAGTTTTGCTTATATTTTTTCCTTTTTAACGCTTCAGAATGTACCTCATTTCCTAGTTTTGTACCCATCTCTTCAGATACTCTTGCTGCGACGCTCATTGCTGCAACTCGTCGAGGCTGAGTACACCCAATTTTCATCTTACCCTTGGTAAAACCCTAAAAAAGAAAAGATTCCAGGAGTTCAGCTAAAAAATGTGTGGTACATTCACCCCTGGAGATGCCCGATATGTTTGTTAATCTTTTCGATTCTGTTTACTATGGATTGCCGCGTAAGGAGGGGCAAAGAACACTCCATGGGCTGGCAGCAAAGAAAGATGGCATTATTTGCAGGCTATTCTACAAAATTAGCTACACTGTGCCTTGCTCACAAAATTTGGCCTTATAAGGCAGATTGCAGTAGCACTCAGCCAGAACTTGGGTGGCACAGGATCCAACCAAGTCAAAGCATGGAATTTCTCCCACTTTCTTTATTTCCAGAATTTCTTCATATCCAGTTCTCCTGAGAGGGCATTTCATTATTTAGCATCATTTATTTGTGATACTCTGTCTATTAACAAGTTACCTAAGTACAGCCTGTCATGATGCAGTCAAGCACTGTAGCCTCTTTTTCCTCCTCAGAACTAACATGATAAACCACTGTAAAACTCCATGACAATCACAAGGACACATACACAAGAGTTGCAACCTCACGTTACAACTGCTCATAAAAGCACACCTATAAACATTTGATATATTTACTTTTATAAACACCAGTGTGTATTTTAAATAGTAAGGAATGAACTTTGGACATACTGCTTCATGAAGGTATTGTGGAATTTGAGTGGTCTTTCCTGAGCCTGTCTCTCCTTCGATAATAATAACCTGCAATTAAAAACAATTAATCGTAATGAGCCTCTCGGCCCTTTACACCCTAACTTCAGTATGCATACCTGTTTTCACCACACCGTTCTTCATACATTTCCTACGATGCTGACAAGCAGAATTTGTTTAACAATCATGATTTTATTAAGTGGTTGATCAATATTCCTTTAATCTCAAGATCTTGATATTTGATTCTGGGGTGACAATGTGAGGAGAAATTAGACACTGGTCTTTTTTAGGGTTAAAGGGCTGCTTTTAAACTCAGTCATTGGTAAGCATTTAGATGAAAGATGTGGTCAAACTGCGTCAGCCTCCCTCACCAGGTATTTGTGCACAGAACCAGATTGATGCAACCAGAGGGGTGAGCTTCCTTCAACTTTGTTGAGTGAACAGTGGCTCAAAAGCTAACCCTGGTTTCTACTCTCATTTGTTACCGTAGAGAAAGACATTTTGGTCTATGTTGAAAATGACAAATCTGTCTGCAAGGTGACAGAGATTTCCTTCAAAACCAAAAAGTATGGATGGCCAGTTCTTATTCACTATATGCCCTGTGGTTCACGAACCTTACATTTGATGGTGCTTGGATAGCCTTGTATTGGTGCTAGGCACATTACCCAGAGGTTTAAAGGAGAGAAACTATTGTCAAAGTACAAGTACTCTGTGTTGTTATCATGTTCAACTCAAACATTGGAATCAGAAGAACAACCCCTCAAAAAAGCTAGCCAAAAGAATGAAGTAGATCTTTAAAAACTAATACAGAAGTCTGAATCCTTCACTCAACAATGTAATTACCTGATGATCTCTGATGGCTTGGATAAGGCTCTCTCTATATGG